TCAAGCACTACAGTGCTCTACACAGTACACAAAACACAGACAAACATGACACTAATCTATTGTTAAAAAAGGCAGTCTGTCCTGGAGTCCATGACCAACTCTAAACTCAACATTCCTACAGACCGTCTTTCAATGGGCACTGTACCATGTTGGAAAAATCTGAAAAAAATACTACGGAAGACTACAGTGAATTGAGGCAGTGCCTGAAACGTGGCTCTCAAAGAGGAACCCTGTCGAGAGAGTAAACCATCATTAGCAATGATAAATGAAAATAATTTACGCAGGATGGAGAGCGAGGCTTCATCGTTATAATCTTTCAATGTAAATAAGTACCACAAATGTGATGCTATTGGACTTCAACAAGGTGATAGTATTGGACTTCTTCAAAATGTGATGCTATTGGACTTCAACAAGGTGATAGTATTGGACTTCTTCAAAGTGTGGTTAAGGTGTCAGAGTATTGCTACTAATATACTTCAACGACGACCAGAGTACCATGAGGATGGCACTGAAAACTTTTGTGTACATATTAAAGTGACAGGGAACTGGCACAAAGGACTTACAACACAAGACCTCAGTACCACAATGACTTCAGGAATGAAAGTAAGCTTAAAATATCACCTACATACTGTTTTCAAGAACTTAAAAGTTCTTTTTCAATGTTCAAATAATAAGCAAGATAAAGTTTTTAAACCAGATGTTTTTGGGCAGATGAAAGGAATGGTAATATTATACATATTAACATCATGGTTTAGTTGTAGTTCGTTCTCATTTCGTCAGCTATGTTAAATGTTTCTGTAGTCTGAATACGTAGAACAAGAGGCTATTTATGAATTTTATGAATGCGAGAATCCCTTATTAAATCTGGTCTTGGCCTGTTGAAATTTTATGACCATATTTCTTAAGGAAATTTCCCAAGATATAACCAGAGGAACCTTCTGGATATAGAGTAGAATCGCTCCTAAGGTTGCACTTCTCTGTTAGCTGAATTTTTAGCTTGGAAAATGTTTCGAAAAAGAACACAGATATATATATATATATATATATATATATATATATATAAATTTTTGAAATCGTTTGAGAAAACACTATCTCCACGAAAACTATCTTCTAATCAGTTCATGTTCTCAACACAACGAATGTTTTGATCTCAGCGTTTTATGCACTTCAATATCTGGACACCATATGTGTCGAGATAACACCATATGTTAATGAATTAACACTATATGTTAATTCAAGTGTTTATGAAGATTTTCTTCCTTCTACATCATAACATTGTGTTTAGGCAACCGTGTAGAGTCTGGTTACTTAAATGAAGCGAACTCGATTTCATTCAGATAGTTTAGGTAATTAGTTAAGTGTTGTAACATTTCGTACACAATTTATTTCGATAGCAATTAACTGTTAAACTTTCATTTTACACTCAAACTGTCCATGTGCTTGTACTCGCCTGGATATTACTTAAGTAAATAATTATCAAAAGAAGGCACAATGCCGGAGAGACTATGTAGCATCATCAAAGTCTGAGGATATTCAACAAGTGCTTAATATCACTACTACATCACTACAATACTAGAGATAAAGTTTATAAGGCGAGCGATATCAACGGCATCGGATTTACCAAGGATTCTATCGAGGGACAAATGACCATAAGGGACAGTCAGAAAGCCAGACACCCGAACGTCTTCAAAATCAAGACTTTCAACAAGGATATGTACGACCTTGGTCACGGGCCAAGGACACACCAATATGGCTGGGAACCTAGAAAACTCGACTCGTCTTAAATCTGCTGGAGATAAGAAACAGCCAATATTAAATTTCGACGACAACCTGACAGAAAGAATTAAATACTACAGGGCTATGATGGCACTGCAAGAGTCAATTATTGACAAAGGAAGATTGACAGCGAGAAAGCAGCTGATGAATAGCATTCAAAATTGCATAATGTTCTGCTGTGGAGATGAAGTTTACCGGGGCAGGCAACACATATAGGTGCAAGTCAGGAAATACAACGTAGTAGCCTACACCTTTAGCAGAATTAAATCCAACTGTAAAGACGACAATGGAGCGGGAGGGTGAAGAAAAGTGAGCGAGGAAATGGCGTTTTAGAACTGTAAGAGGGGTAGAAGACTGTCATGTGGGTCAAGGTTTTGCAAAACTTTGGAAATGATACTCTCCATGGGGGCAAGAATGGAACGACATGGATAATTTTTTTTTTTTTTTTTTTTTTTTTTTTTTTTTTTTTTTGAGATATATACAAGAGTTGTTACATTCTTGTACAGCCACTAGTACGCGTAGCGTTTCGGGCAAGTCCTTAATCCTATGGTCCCTGGAATACGATCCCCTGCCGCTAAGAATCGTTTTTTCATCCAAGTACACATTTTACTGTTGCGTTAAACAGAGGCTACAGTTAAGGAATTGCGCCCAGTAAATCCTCCCCGGCCAGGATACGAACCCATGACATAGCGCTCGCGGAACGCCAGGCGAGTGTCTTACCACTACACCACGGAGACTTCGAGTATTGGTACATGAAAGTTGAGAGAATAATGGAAAACAATCGTACAAGAAAGGAAAGTGATGAAAGAGCCTACAGGAGGGGTAATGGTCACAACATATGTGAGAGTGAGGATGTTTCTGAGACTGCACAAGGTAGTGAAGACATTAATAATCACGACATCACGACGATCCTGAAAAGACAGGAAGCCAGTTTCAACATGCAGATTCCGGGTAGGGGACGAAAGAAAGGCATGAGAGCTGAGGCATAACCCAGTATCAAGACGACGAAGAACAGAGCATCATAACCGCAGAGCATCAAGACGACATAGAGTCGAAGGAGAAGCTGATGAGTAAGCTGAAATTGCAATGAAGGCCAACAGAAGGAAGTTGGGACAGAATATAATATCTCCAGGAGATGTCATACGCTTTTTCCAGGTCTAAAAGGAAAGCAACCACAGAGGTCTTTGCAGCAGAGGCAGAACGAATATAGACCTCCAAATTCACTAAGACATCAGTCGTATTACGAAACGTGGGAAAGCCAAATTTAGAAGAGGAGAGGTGGTGGTGTGGCAATGGGGGCGTAAAACCTGAAGGGATGTCCCTCAATAACCTGATTTCCGAATAGGATAAACAACCGCCTCGAACCAGTCCTCAGGAACTGGCGACTCCTTCCACATGTGGTTATAAACAGTCAGGAAATACTGAAATGGGCATGGAGGGTGTCGGCGAAGCGTCTCATAATCAATGTCATCTGAGACCCCCTGCCGTAGAACTGCAGAAGGTCAGGGCAGACTGGAATTCTATTCGAGATAGAATTCTTTCTATCTATTTCTATTCGAGATAGTGACAAGATTCAAGAGTAAGTAAAGGGGCAGGAAGATGAGAATTGAAGCTAACAGTTGAAAAGTGCGAATAAATTAACAGTTGAAAAGTATTGCTTGTAAATTGAACCGGAAGTTGGACTTCGAAAAAAACGATTTATCTGAGAAATTTAATTCTAAAGTGCCAGGGGGGGGGGGGGATGCTAATTTATTGTAGACATTTTCACTTACGTAAGCTATTGGTGCGGAGGAGTACTCACACATGTCAAAACTGCAGCCAAATATCTCTTCAAACAACAACTTCTAATTATTAACAAAATATTATATTTTTGTAAATTTTGACTATTTTAAATTATATTCGCCCATTCGTAATGTTTAACATATATGACAATATTTGATATTCAATGACATTCATATTATATCGTTTATTCATTATTCGTAGTGATGCAAGCTTGCAATATCATTGCAACTGATAAGTACTTCAGTAGCTGCTGGTATTGACAAAAAAACTTCTATCTAGAATGCATAATTATTTCACTTACAATTGTTATTAGTACCACATCAATAGCACTCATGAATTTCAGATATATAATACAGTCATCAATAATGTGGCAGGAACACTCAGCAAAGGAGAAGCATCTCATATCCCATTTATTATTCCAGCAATGCTGCAGGTCGTGTATTACAAGACATAGTTCCCAGATTGTGTATTATTGGCCTTATCTTTACAGCTACCAATATAAAATAAACCCATTCTACAGGGATAAAGCACAATGAATTTCGACATAAAACAGCTAATCAGTAATGCGTGGGTTGAATTATAAACACTCCTGCCTTTACAACGCCTCGGCCTGCACATAACACAATGATGAACTCACCATATCACTCTGTCTCACTGGGGTGGGTTGCCAGTGAGCACCAGAAATATATCTAAGAACACGAAAGTCTTCTAATTACATACAAGATCGAAGTTTTTTTTAAATAATTACGCTTACCGTCGTCAAGTATAATCCGGCCCATGGATGTACTGCAAATGATAGGGTTATTATTGTCCATAATTACGGTAATATTTATGATAGCAAGAAGATCTTTGTACCAACAGTTTGTCATATCTCTTATGTATTTATTTAAGTATTTCAATGTTTTTTTATTTGTTTACATTCTCGTTGTACTATCTATTTTGTTACTAGTACAAATTTTTCTTGTTGTTGTTTTTCCTTGTCACTTTGCTCACTTGCAACTTTCTATTTACTTACAACTTTGCAACATCTTGCACGTTCGTAAATATGCAACTTTGCAACATCTTGCACGTTCGTAAATATGCAACTTTGCAACATCTTGCACGTTCGTAAATATGCAACTTTGCAACATCTTGCACGTTCGTAAATATGCAAATTTGCAACATTGACCCCTTTGCATGACCATGACTTTTCAACATGACCTGCTTATATGAGCATGGCCTTGCTAAATCTTTCAACATTTCAAGCCGGCATTAAGTGGTTGGTTGTAGTCTCATTTTACCCTACTGAGCAGGACGCGAGGATAGACACGAGCAACACGTGAGGATTAATACGAGTAACACGAGATGATAGATACGAGCGAGATGCGAGGATAGATAGGAGTGAGGCGAGGAAAGATATGGTTAAGACGGAAGGAGAATGCCGAGGACCAGCAACCACTGACCTGGGTGATGATGTTGACCTGCAGGACGGGGAGACACAGCTGAAGGTTCTGCTTGGTCCAGGTGAACAGCTCGAAGAAACAGGTGGAGAAGAGGTCATTGAGGACGGCCTGCTCGTGGTGGGGACGAGTCTTCACCCACGCCTGCAACAGCGGCTGCCAGTCCAGTCCCGACGAGCTCATGTACACCTGGTGAACACCAGGCTCTCAGCACCCCTGCTATTGTTCACCTGGTGAACACCAGGCTCTCAGCACCCCTGCTACTGTTCACCTGGTGAACACCAAGCTCTCAGCACCCCTGCTACTGTTCACCTGTGAACACCAGGCTCTCAGCACCCCTGTTATTGTTCACCTGTGAACACCAGGCTCTCAGCACCCCTGTTATTGTTCACCTGTGAACACCAGGCTCTCAGCACCGATGCAATTGTTCACCTGGTGAGCACGAGGTGAATACTAGGTGAGCCTTACACCAGCTGAACCTTACACCAGCTGAACCTTACACCAGCTAAACCTTACACCAGCTGAACCTTACACCAGCTGAACCTTACACCAGCTGAACCTTACACCAGCTGAGCCTTACACCAGCTGAACCTTACACCAGCTGAACCTTAAACCAGCTGAACCTCACACCAGCTGAGCCTTACACCAGCTGAGCCTTACACCAGCTAAACCTTACACCAGCTGAACCTTACACCAGCTGAACCTTACACCAGCTGAACCTTACACCAGCTGAGCCTTACACCAGCTGAACCTTACACCAGCTGAACCTTACACCAGCTGAACCTTAAACCAGCTGAACCTCACACCAGCTGAGCCTTACACCAGCTGAACCTTACACCAGCTGAACCTACACCAGCTGAACCTTACACCAGCTGAACCTTACACCAGCTGAACCTTACACCAGCTGATCCTTACACCAGCTGAGCCTTACACCAGCTAAACCTTACATCAGCTGACCCTTATACTAGCTGAACCTTACACTTGCTGACAAGTGATAAGATGTACACAGCTGCCACGGGAACATTATCTTTAGTGCCATCCAATAATTAATACTTTGGCCCTCAACCACTGGGACCCACCAACCACTATGACCCACCAACCACTATGACCCACCTAGATGTACCAGGACCCACCAACCACCATGACCCACCTAGACGTACCAGGACCCACCAACCACCATGACCCACCTATATGTACCAGGACCCACCAGCCACCATGACCCACCTAGATGTACTAGAATCCACCAACCACCATGACCCACCAATTAAGGCGTACCAGGACCCACCAACCACTATGACCCACCTAGACGTACCAGGACCCACCAACCACCATGACCCACCTAGACGTACCAGTACCCACCAACCACCATGACCCACCTAGACGTACCAGGACCCACCAACCACCATGACCCACCTAGACGTACCAGGACCCACCAGCCATCATGACCCACCTAGATGTACCAGGACCCACCAACCACCATGACCCACCTAGACGTACCAGGACCCACCAACCACCATGACCCACCTAGACGTACCAGGACCCACCAACCACCATGACCCACCTAGACGTACCAGTACCCACCAACCACCATGACCCCCCTAGACGTACCAGAAACCACCAACCACAATGACCCACCTAGACGTACCAGGACCCACCAACCACCATGACCCACCAACCACTATGACCTACCAACCACTATGACCCACATAGATGTACCAGGACCCACCAACCACCATGACCCACCCACAACCATCCACCTACCATGCCATTTCTGGAGACGGTGGCCGGGGAGGCGTTCTCGATGTTTGAGGGCTCGAAGATGACCTTGCAGGCCGGGGACATAGGTATTCTGTCTCCATTGGCCAGTGTCAACGTCCTGTTGTCATCCAGCACCGAGTTTAGGTTCTCTATCCATATGGCGTCGACGGGCCCATCCAGTACTAGCCAGATGTGCTCACCTGAAAATCAGTTGTAACTTGTGTGAATAACTTGAAAACCAATCTACTAAATCTAACAGCAAGCTGTTTAGACCAAATTGTTTAGTTAACAAACAGTTGTACCAATCATACACTAATAGATCAGTCAAACGAGATTTAAAGACTTTGAAAATAACTATTATTTTTGTTCGCCAGTTAGTAAGTTGGGTAAATAAAATAGTATTAGATTTTTACAAAGACCAAGTTCTGTAAACAAAAATGTATGAATAAACGAAATAGTAAGTTGTGTAAATTTTTTTTAACTTATATAAGCTAAAGAATACGTTGTGTAATGCCAATAGAAAACTGCATAAATCTAATAATGAATTATGTAAACCAAGTACAAAATTTGGGCTTCCAAATGTTGCTTAAACCAAGTATTTAAACCACAAAAATGTATGTATAAACAAATTTATAATTTGTGTAAACCAAGGAATATGTTGGTTTACACAACTTATTAAATATTGAGCAGTGTAAACCAAAGTTGCGTTAACCAAAGACTAAGTAGTATAGAGGCAACAGTAAGTTGTTTAACATAAACAAGTGGTTGAATACAAAGGTACAGTGTGACAAGTGAAAACACCTCACCAGCAAGTCCGGTCAATTCATCTCGGCACTGGCACCAGTTGTCTTAACAATATTATACTTGTAATTCGTAGTCATTTTTATGGATACAAAAATATAATTTATCTCTTTGACAATTATTTATCTCATTCTGGAACTCATTCATAAATAGTGATTGTCCTTCTATCCCTATTCTTTTCTCTCTTTCCTTCTTATGTCTCACCTTTCTTAGCTTTGAGCGTCTTCCTCCAGAGAGTGGAGAAGATACCATCGGTCCAGTCGTTGGTGGCCACATCCAGTCGCCCGAACATCTGCGCTGAAGTGATGGCCTTCGGGTTCATTCTCAGCTCCCTGCCCAAACACACTTATTTACCACTTGCCTCCTCTCTCCCTGTCTTATGCAAGACTTTGTATCAGATTAAAAGCTTTAAAGTGCATAAACGGACTGTAGTGATGTCTGTTTACACCTGTATATGAAAACTAGAGTAAATTTATATTCAGACGAAGGAAAAATAACAAAAGATGGCAGTAGTGTGTAGGAACCCATGGGGCTGGTATAGTGTACAGGAACCCATGGGGCTGGAATAGTGTACAGGAACCCATGGGGCTGGTATAGTGTACAGGAACCCATGGGGCTGGAATAGTGAACAGTGGGGCTGGTATAGTGTACAGGAACCCATGGGGCTGGTATAGTGTACAGGAACCCATGGGGCTGGTATAGTGTACAGGAACCCATGGGGCTGGTATAGTGTACAGGAACCCATGGGGCTGGAATAGTGTACAGGAACCCATGGGGCTGGTATAGTGTACAGGAACCCATGGGGCTGGTATAGTGTACAGGAACCCATGGGGGAATAGTGTACTGGGGCTATAGTGTACAGGAACCCATGGGGCTGGTATAGTGTACAGGAACCCATGGGGCTGGTATAGTGTACAGGAACCCATGGGGCTGGAATAGTGTACAGGAACCCATGGGGCTGGAATAGTGTACAGGAACCCATGTGGCTGGGGCTGGAATAGTGTACAGGAACCCATGGGGCTGGAATAGTGTATAGGAACCCATGGAGCTGGTATAGTGTACAGGAACCCATGGGGCTGGTATAGTGTACAGGAACCCATGGGGCTAGTATAGTGTATAGGAACGCAAGTGGCTGGCAGTAGTGTGTAGGAACCCAAGGGGCTGCCTGTAGTGTGTATGGTAGGCCGAGAAGTGCGTTCTGGCTTCTAGGTACGACATATATATATATATATATATATATATATATATATATATATATATATATATATATATATATATATATATATATGTATATAAAGATAGTGTGTGTGTGTGTGTTGTGTAGGGTGTGTTAGGTGTGTGTGTGTGTGTATGTGTGTGTGTGTTGTACTCCAATAAAAAAAAATTGACCTGATACATAATGAAATGTGGTAGCTTTATCAGACCATAAGAAAAAATGAAACAATATATTTCCTTAGGAAAACTTGGCTTATTAGGCAAATTCGGAAGGAGTGAATAGTGGCCAACAAGTGTTCCGGCTACTAGGTACGACATATATATATATATATATATATATATATATATATATATATATATATATATATATATATATATATATATATATATATATATATATATGTGTGTGTGTGTATATCACGAAAATAAACACGTGATTAAAATGTGACAATGTCAGACCACGGAGGAAAATGAAACAGGAATTTCCTTAAGTACTTTCGTATATTAATACATCTTCAGAAGGAGTGACATTGGTCTGACATTGTCATATATATATATATATATATATATATATATATATATATATATATATATATATATAGGCAGCTCCTATTTATAACCACCCAATCCCATTCATATACATGTCCAACCCACGCTTGAAACAATCAAGGGATTGTTTACCTCCACCACGTTATGCGGTAATTGGTTTCACAAATTAACAACCCTGTTACTAAACCAGTATTTACCTAGATCTTCCCCAAATCTAAACTTATCCAATATATACCCATTGTTTCGTGTTCTGTCCTGTGTTGATACTTTTAATACACTATTAATATTACATTTGTTATGTCCATTCATCCACATGTACACCTTTATCATGTCATCCATAACTCGTCGCCTTTCCAGCGAATGTAATTTAAGCCTTGTCAATTTTTCCTCATATGACAGGTTTCTAATTTGCCAGATTAACTTTATCATCCTATGCTGGAGGCGCTCTAGTGAATTAATATTTATTCTATAGTACGGCGACTAAAACTGTGCTGCATAATCTAAATGGGGCCTAACCAGAGCAAGAAATAGCTGAAGAATAACACCAGGTGTCTTAATAGTTTTGCTTCGATAAATAAATCTCAGTGTCCTCTTTGCCTTATTAAGAACATTTATGTACTGATTTTTTGGTTTTAAATTCTTACTAATCATAATTCCCAGATCCCTTTCGCATTTTTAAATAGATTATATTTTGAATCCACAGTCCGACTGGTGGATAGCAATCTCAATTCCCGCACGAGGCACCATACACCATATAGCTCGTGTCTTTTTATTTTTAAATAGATTATATTTTGAATCCACATCGAAATCCCTTTTTACATCACCCGTCGCTTGGTTCACGTCTCGCTCCAAAACCGGCCCACCTTCCCTACCCAAGATTTTCCAATCTATTTTCCCCCAAAATTTCTTAGAGTAATAAAATCACCTTTTCGAAAATCTGGCACTTTAACAGAATTTTCCCCTACAAATCTAATCCATTCTATACTAAATCTGATTTCTTTGTGATCACTGTTCCCAAGCTCACTTCCTATTTCGATGTCATTAGTTTGTGTATCCCTGTTAGTTAACACTAAATCTAAAATATTATTTTCCTGTGTTGGTTCCTTAACGTGTTGTGTTAGAAATCAATCGTCAATTATTTCTAGAAAATCTTCTGCTTCATTATTCCCTATTCTGTTAACCCAATTTACTCCACTAAAATTAAAGTCACCTATGACATAAATACTGTTAGACCTGGATGCACTAGATATTTCATTCCATATATGCTTTGCTTCCATTTTGTCTAAGTTTGGTGGCCTGTATATAACTTCAATTATAAGATTATTTGCTTTTTCGTTTAATTCTAGCCAAATAGTTTCTGTGTGTGGCTCAGTTTTGATTCCCTCTTTGAGGCTACATTTCAAATTTTCTCATAACAAAGACGGCTAGTCCCTTTCCTCGTATACATAAATAGATTGTTATTACCTGCGGTTCTTCTGGAGGGGAATAGAGATAGAGACAAGAGTATCTGAAGAAGGCCGCCCTTCCCCTTCCCCTTTCCGGGGGCACAGTGAGAGAACTTTCTACATCCTGCCAACGAGACAGCATTTTCTTTACATCTAAGTTAAATATGTAACTTTCTTCACTCATTTAATATTATTCACACTTCAAACCTATTCTAATAGCTCATCTTCATAATTTGATTCATCTTTGCCATATTATCCTCCTCCTCTTCCTCCTTGCTTATCTTCCCACTCCTCACACACTTCCATTTTTTTCAGTAAGTTATTCCTTTCGACATTTTCTATGCACGAACTATTTTGGTACATGGACGATTCATTTTGGGGTTTAATTGCACTTTTATAAAAAAAGAACTTCCTACCCGATATGCACTGAACGATTCTTTTGACATTTTTTGTGTTAAATTTGTTTTTTTATTTTTTTCAATTGTTTTTCCCATACACTATGTAACCTTACATCATTTCACTCTTTCATTCGTCAGTAACATTCGTCATCATCATCGTCATCATGCAACATTCATCATCTACATATGTTTGACATGGTAGCCATTGTAACAAATGTTGCACAGGACCATTCAGTACCTGTGTGGCTGGACCATACCTGTAGAGGTGAACCATACGTGGCGTGGGGAGTCAGTACCTGTGTGGCTGGACCATACCTGTAGAGGTGAACCATACGTAGTGTGGGGGGTCAGTACCTGTGTGGCTGGACCATACCTGTAGAGGTGAACCATACGTGATGTGGGGGTCAGTACCTGTGTGGCTGGACCATACCTGTAGAGGTGAACCATACGTGATGTGGGGGTCAGTACCTGTGTGGCTGGACCATACCTGTAGAGGTGAACCATACGTGGTGTGGTGAACCATACCTGTGCGGCTGGCCCATCTTGGTGAGGGCGCGCATCAACACGTGGATGCAGGAGGTCTTGCCGGCGCCGCTGGGGCCCAGAGTCATCATGCCGTGCCTCACCCGCTGGGTCTCGTACAGCTGGTCATAACACAACAATGTTAACCCAGAACCATCCTGCTTCTTCACCCTCCCCCCCCCCTCATCATCCAGGCACCCTGCTATCTCTCATAATGCTTATCTCATGCATTATTAGTACACTTAATTATAAACAGAACACCTCTCATTGTGTTCAAAAGAGGACATGTTAAGCACATGCAAAGCATACTATATCAACCAGGCTGTGACTCATACGTCACGTTGCGAGCAGCTGCGTCTAACAGTCTGGTTGACCAGACAACTAACCGACTGGGCCGAGGTGAGTTTGATGTTTGAAACCAATGCAACGAAACCGCAAGGTAAGGTAAGGTAAGGTAAGGTAACCTAACCTAACCTAACCTAACCTAACCTAACCTAACCTAACCTAACCTAACCTAACCTAACCTAAATCTAACCTAACCTAACCTAACCTAACCTAACCTAAATCTAACGATTAACACATTAATATATTATGTATACGACAAAATAGCATTCTTATAATACAGGTTATGAAAGGTGAAAGAGCAAGAGTGAGGAGGAGCACACCTGCGTGAGCTTGAGTGTCCAGGGCGGGTGGTTGACGAGCCCCAGCTCAGCCACGATCTCTCCAATGGTGGTGGTGAGTTGGTTGTGGTAGCCTTTCTCTTGAGCCATATTAGGGAAGAGGTCCTCGATCAGAGACATGAACAGCGGCTCGTCCTCGTCTGTCGTGGTGTTGGAGTGGTGGAGAGAGCACACCATGGAGGTAGAAACAGGGGTGGGAGAGCAGAAGATGAAGGAAGAGAAATAGAGATGGAGGGAAAAGAGCAGACGATGTGAGGGAACAGAAGTACAGGTGCAGAGGTAGAGATTATGGGGGACGGGAAACGGCAAGCAATGAATGGGACAAGTGCCACTCAAGAGGGGGTAGAGAAGAGGCAAGGTGCAGGAATGACAGAATGAGAGAGCGGGGAGAGAGGAGAGAGAAAGGAGAGAGAAAAGAGAGATAAAGGAGAGATAAAGGAGAGAGAATAGGAGAGAACAGAGAGAGGGAATAGAGAGAGAAGAGAGAGAGAGAGAAAAGAGAGAGATAAGAAAGAGAGAAAAGAGAGAGATAAGAGAGAGAGAAAAGAGAGAGATAAATGAGAGAGAGAAGTGAGAGAGAGAGAGAGAGAGAGAGAGAGAGAGAGAGAGAGAGAGAGAGAGAGAGAGAGAGAGAGAGAGAGAGAGAGAGAGAGAGAGAGAGAGAGAGAGAGAGAGAGAGAGAGAGAGAGAGAGAGAGAGAGAGAGAGAGAGAGAGAGAGAGAGAGAGAGAGAGAGAGAGAGAGAGAGAGAGAGAGAAGAGAGAGAGAGAGAGAGGGAGAGAGAGGGAGAGAGGGAGAAAGAGAGAGAGAGAGAGAGAGAGAGAGATAGAGAGAGAGAGAGAGAGAGAGAGAGAGAGAGAGAGAGAGAGATCGAGAGAAGAAAAAGATAGAGAAAAAGCTCCGAGGGAGATAGAATAAAGAGAGAGAGAGAGATATTAGTGACAACTCACCTAACATAATTATCATTAATTCCATAAGTAATAATATAAATGATGAGACCAAAAAAATAACAAGAAGGGTGGAGGCGGCCTGGTTAGAGAGGCCCTCAGACATAATGGGTCTCAACAGCCGCCATGAACCTCTACATCATCTTACTACGAGGAGAAGGTGCCCAGCTCCCCACGGGTCTCTCTCTCTCCCCCTCTTCTTCTTTGTTTAAATATCCCTCGCTCCACTACTCCTCCTCTCCTTCCCTTTGCAACCCCTCTCCCAATTTCTTACCTCCCCTTCCCAACCCTCATCCCCCTCTTCACCTCTTCCCTCCTTCCCACTCTTCAAACATCCTCCTTCTCCTTTCTTCTCTCCCTGTCTCTGTCTCTCTGTCAATCTCTGCCTGTCTTCCCATTTATTTTCCTCTTTACCCTGGTCGACTTGGTCTCGCTGCAGGCCTAATTCTATCTATCTGACCTAGTCTGTTTCTGGCTCTTTATGACTGTATCTCTGTATGTCTCTGCCTCTCATTCTGTCTGTGACTGTCACTGCCTGTCTCTTTATCTTATACAGTAGTTATCAAAAGAAGGCGCCAAGTTGGGAAGACGATGTAGCTTTTCTCATAAAACTAATATAATTGTTTCCCTCTGATATACTCACCTAGATGTACTCACCTAGTTGTGTTTGCGAGGGTTGAGCTCTGGCTCTTTGAACCCGCCTCTCAATTGTCAATCACCTGGTGTACAGATTCTTCAGCCTATTGGGCTCTTTCATATCTACATTTGAAACTGTTTGAAACGTCAGCCTCCACAACAACACTACTTAATGCATTCCATTTATTAACTACTCTGACACTGAAAAAATTCTTTCTAACGTCTCTGTGGCTCATTTGGGTTCTAAGTTTCCACATATGTCCCCTTGTTCGTGTTCCACCCGCGCTAAAGAGTTTGTCTTTGTCCACCCTGTCAATTCCCCTGAGAATTTTGTAGGTGGTTATCATGTCTCCCCTTACTCTTCTGTTTTCCAGGGTTGTGAGGTTCAGCTCCCTTAGCCTTTCCTCGTAACTCGTTCCTCTCAGTTCCGGGACCAGTCTGGTGGCATACCTCTGAATCTTCTCTAACTTCGTCTCGTGTTTAACTAGGTATGGACTCCAGGCTGGAGCTGCATACTCCAGGATTGGTCTTACATAAGTGGTATACAGGGTCCTGAACGATTCCTTACACAAGTTTCTAAAGGCAGTTCTTATATTGGCCAGTCTAGCATATGCCGCTGATGATATCCTTTTGATGTGGGCCTCTAGGGACAGGTTCGGTGTCATATCGACCCCCAGATCTTTCCCTTTATTTGACTCTTGTAGGATTTCCCTTCCCAGATGGTACCTTGTGTTCAGCCTTCTGCTCCCTTCGCCTAATTTCATTGCTTTACACTTTCCTGAGCTGAACTTTAGCAGCCATTTTCTAGACCATTCCTCCAGTTTGTCCAGGTCGTTCTGTATTCTCTGTCTATCTTCATCTGTTTTGATTCTTCTCACAATTTTTGCATCGTCAGCAAACATTGAGAGGAATGAGTCTATACCCTCTGGAAGGTCGTTTACATATGCTAGAAACAGGATGGGTCCGAATACAGAGAACTGTGGGACTCCACTGGTGATATCTCGCCACTCTGATGCCTCCCCCCTCACCGTTACTCGCTGTTTTCTATTGCTGATACTCCATTATCCACTGGAGCACCTTACCTTTTACTCCTGCCTGCTGCTCCAACTTTTGTAACAGCCTTTTGTGAGGTACTGTGTCAAAGGCTTTCTGACAGTCCAAGAAAATGCAGTCTGCATACCCTTCTCTTTCCTGCCTAATTTGTGTTGCTTGGTCATAGAATTCTGCTAGGCCTGCAAGGCATGATTTACCATCTCTGAACCCATGCTGGTGGTGTGTTACAAAGCTCTTTCCCTCCAGATGCTCTACGAGCCTTTTCCTCACAATCTTCTCCATCACCTTGCATGGTATACAAGTTAGGGAAACTGGCCTGTAGTTCAGTTTCTCTTGCCAGTCACCCTTTTAGTAAATTGGGACTACATTAGCTGTCTTCCAACTTTCCGGAAGGTCTCCCATTTCCAGTGACCTGTTATACACCATAGAGAGTGGCACACTTAGTGCTTCTGCACCTTCTTTTAGAATCCACGGTGAGATTCTGTCAGGCCCAACAGCCTTTGACACGTTCAGCTCCAACAGATTCCTTTTGACCTCATCACTGGTGAGGTAAACATCCTGCAGGGATGATCAGTTTGTATCCTCATTTAGTGCAAGGACCTCTCCTTGTTCTATTGTGAAGATCTCCTGGAATCTCTTGTTGAGTTTTTCACACACCTCTTTATCGTTCTCTGTGTATATGTTCTCCCCTTTTCTCAGTTTCATCACTTGTTCCTTCACTGTTGTTTTCCTCTTGATGTGGCTGTGGAACAGTTTTGGTTGGGTCTTAGCTTTACTCGCGATGTCATTTTCATAAATGACAGCTTCCAGCTGACTCATCATGACAGCTTCCTGCCCAAGCACCAGTAAACGGTTCAGAACAGCGGCTAGAACCAACTACCCAGCTAGCCTAACCCTGCTGGAAATAAATAAATATTTCTCAGAATCTTAGGGACCACCTACAAAATCAAACATCGTTTTATGAGAAGTTCTTAGCGCTAACAACACTGATCCCCACGACTAAAATGAAATAAACAAGATATTAGATATAAAGAATAGAGAGGTGAGAATGTTGGTATAAGGTGGTAGTCATGCATTGGAGGAGGTGGTAGTACTGACCGACTAGCTTGGAGAGGTTCATGTCTCTGAGGACCCTCATCACTATGGTGGCCTCAGAGTCCTTGGCGTTGGCTCTCTTGGACGCCCCCAACGTCCTCAGCACCGACAGGATATTGCGCAGCCCGAAGTCGTAGTGGACCTGCGGAAAGGAGGGAGTACGAAGGTCACACAGCTGCCTTGGGATTGTAAGTGGAGGAAAGATCACATTGGAACGTAGGGTAGTAGGCCCAACAGCTACCTCGAAAAGGTAGTTGGTAGCAAGGTCCCAGAGAAGCTTTGGGAAGGGAGGAGACTGGAAGGTTACATACCAGACTAGGGAAGGTAGGAGCAAAGGTCACACACTAACCTTGGAAAGGAAGGGGGCTAGAAAGTTCACACAGCTGCTTTGAGAAGGTAGGAAGGTCACAACACTATCTTAAGGTAGGAGGTAAGAAGGCTACACAGCTGCCTTGCTGTGTAACCCTTCTATCTGTAACTTGTGTAAGAGGGAAGAAAAAGAAGAAAAGAACAGGAAGAAGAAAAAGAAAGGGAAAGGAAAAGGAAAGAAGAAGATAATGATGATGATTATGATGAAAAAGAAGAAGATATAGAAGATGAAGAATAAGAAGGTGGAGAAGGAGAAGAAGAGAGAAAGAAGAAGAAGAAGAAGAAGAAGAAGAAGAAGAAGAAGAAGAAGAAGAAGAAGAAGGAGAAGGAGAAGGAGAAGGAGAAGGAGAAGGAGAAGGAGAAGAGAAGGAGAAGGAGAAGAAGAAGAAGAAGAAGAAGAAGAAGAAGAAGAAGAAGAAGAAGAAGAAGAAGAAGAAGAAGAAGAAGAAGAAGAAGAAGAAGAAGAAGAAGAAGAAGAAGAAGAAGAGAAAGGAGAAGAAGAAGAAGATGGAGAAGAAGAAGAAAAAGAAGAAGAAAAAGTGAAGAAGGGGAAGAGAGTAACGCAGGTATTTAAGTCACGTGTGTCAGGAAAAGAGTGATAGCATAGGACTACTGGTGTTGATTGTCAGGTAAACAATTATTGCAGCACAACAAAATCACTCATAGCCAAATAGGAACACTTGTATGGACATAAGTTGATAAGTTCCAGGATGAGTGTGCTGGGTCTCCTGTTGTTAGATGACAGCAATGGCAGGGATTTTGAGAAAAGATGGTGCAAGGAATGTTTGCTGCTCATCAAATGTAACTAAGAAATCATAATGGGAAAGTAGTTGAGAAATTTTACCTAAAAAATGATAAACATTGTATGTGGATTTCAAAAGATTTTTTTGATATGATAATAGTATCATATCATATACCACACAGTATGGTATGATATGTCTGATATTATGTGTATGTCTGGGTACACAGACATACACATAATACTGCCCTAAAGAAATATTATAACTTTTTACATCTATTGATATTTATTTGTTCATCAGTATTACAAATAAATCTTATAAATTAGGAGCACATGTGTGCACATTAAAATAGATAATGTACATAGACATAATCTACATCTACGTAAACACTGATGAATATAGAAAACAGGAATCTGTGGACAAGAAACACGATTAAATATATAAATTGTTTCCTGGTAATTTATTCCGTGAATACAATACAATACAATACAATACAATTTTATTTAGGTAAGGTTCATACATACAATAAATATTTACAAGGATTGTTTAACTTATAGGTATAGCTAGTACATACAATGCCTAAAGCCACTATTACGCAAAGCGTTTCGGGCATAAATCAACAACTGTGGTTCCAAACCAATATTTACTCAGGCCATCTATAGATCAAAACATATCCAATATGTATTCATTGTTTCCTGTTACGTTTTGTTAATTATTTATTTATCATTCTATCAATATAAATTTCGCTACACACTTCCATTCATTTGCAAAATTTAATCTCATCACTCATACGCATCGCCATTCTAGTGAATGAAAAAGAGTTATCTTAATCTCCCTTCATAAAGAAGGTTTCTAATTACCAGTATCGGCTTTGTCATAATTTTCTGTACACTCATTCACTTGAGCTTATGTCCATTTATGTCCGGTAACTGAGACTGAACTGCACAATCTTCATTACGTGAAGATAATTTTTGCACTTCAGTAAGTGCAAAATAAAGCTGAAGAAAATTATTAGATATCTTGATCAGAAAAGTTTCTAGATATTAATCCCAAATCTTAATTTTATACTTCGAACAGTGTTATATAGATTTTTTTCGATTTAAAATCACTAGTGTTCTTGAGTAATATCTTTTTCACTTTCATATTTTAAAGTTTTAACATAGACAGCTGCCTTGGGGGGTCTCGTAGCCTGGTGGACAGCTGCATAGACAGCTGCATAGGGGCCTCGTAGCCTGGTGGATAGCGCGCAGGACTCGTAATTCTGTGGCGCGGGTTCGATTCCCGCACGAGGCAGAAACAAATGGGCAAAGTTTCTTTCACCCTGTATGCCCCTGTTACCTAGCAGTAATTAGGTAGCTGGGAGTTAGTCAGCTGTCACGGGCTGCTTCCTGAGGGTGGAGGTCTGGTCGAGGACCGGGCCGCGGGGACACTAAAAAGCCCCGAAATCATCTCAAGATAAACTCTCAAGATAGACTAGCTTTCATATGATATTTCCAGACATTGGGAGCTTCCTATTCGGAGAGACAACAACAAACTTGTTTTACATTCAATAAAAAGGCGATGCGTAGGTGGAAACATTATTCATGTATACAAAATAATGTGTTAAAAATCTCAACTCAAAATAAATTACGAAACAATTAATACAAACGGAATAGGTTTATACACAAGAAAAGGTCATTGTAAATACTGGTTTGTGAATGAAATTGTAGACCTATGGAATTAATTTCCAGTAAAAACAGAGACGTGGGATCAATGTGCAAGATTGTTTCAAGCGCAGGTTAAACAAATATGATTGGCAGTAGCAGGGGGTATAACTTGAAGTCTCGTCCTGCAGTAGCTTCCTTTCTTAGGTACATAAAAAGAAGAAAAAGATAAAGAGAAGGAGAAGCAAATGAAGAAGAATGAAGAAGAGGAAGAAGTAAAAGAATGTGAAGCGTTATTATGTGAGAGAACTTAAGAGAAGAGGCGACATGCACCCACCTGCTTAGTGAGCTGTTCCTCACACAGCTTGTACAACGTGTAGAACTTGCGCGCTAGTGTTATGTTCTCTAGGAAGCCACACGAGGCCAGCTTCACCCTGATGATGATCTGGCGGTCCGGGACCATCATGGCCACGTTCCGGAATTGGATCTTCAGATTTTCTGGCAGGACCTGGCGCCCGTGGTAACCCAGGTTCTGTTGCCGTCGTATGCAAAGCCGAGGGGCAGTTGACGTAGGTGTGAGAAGTACCACCCGTTGTCAACGGCGTTGTTGACGGCGTAGTACAGTTGCAGCAGTCGTAGTTATGATGGTCACAGTTGACGTGACCATCAAACCATTGCAACAGCCGTCAAACCAACGTTGATGTGGTGGAGTCGCCATGTTGCAGGCGTCGCCGTCGATTATTTTGCGGTGAGTAGAGGGTAGGTTGAGGAGGTGATGGGGTGGAGGATAGAACAAGTATGTACATGGTGAGACAGAGATACAACATGAAGGGGGGCCAGCATGCAAAACAGTTAAGTACGCCTTCAACTCGCTAGTCTTCATACAGAAAAAATCTAGACTTCCTTCTTCAGTAATAAAACCTTTACACTACAGGAAAAACGTATTTATAAATGCTAATATGTACAAATGCATGCATTTAGTAGTCAAGTAGATGTACAGTAATTTTGTATATGAGTGCGTGTGAGTGTATATACAGATTGACTTAGTATGTACATGAACAGAATACTGCCTCCCTGGGGGTCACATACTGCATCCCTGGGGGTCACATACTGCCTCCCTGGGGGTCACATACAGCCTCCCTGGGGTCACATACTGCCTCCCTGGGGGTCACGTACTGCCTCCCTGGGGGTCACGTACTGCCTCCCTGGGGGTCACGTACTGCCTCCCTGGGGTCGCATACTGTCACACTGGGGTCACATACTTCCTCACTAGGGTCACATACTGCCACACTGGGGTCACATACTGCCACACTGGGGTCACATACTGCCACACTGGGGTCACATACTTCCTCAGTAGGGTCACATACTGCCACACTGGGGTCACATACTGCCACACTGGGGTCACATACTGGAACACTGGGGTCACATACTGGAACACTGGGGTCACATACTGCCTCACTGGGGTCACATACTGTCACACTGGGGTCACATACTGTCACACTGGGGTCACATACTATCACACTGGGGGTCACATACTGTCACACTGGTGTTACATACTACCACACTGGGGTCACATACTGCCTCACTGGGGGTCAAATACTTCCTCACTGGGGTCACATACTGTCACACTGGTGTTACATACTACCACACTGGGGGGTCACATACTGTCACACTGGGGTTACATACTACCACACTAGGGTCACATACTGCCACACTAGGGTCACATACTGCCTCACTGGGGGTCAAATACTACCTTACTGGGGTCACATACTGCCACACTGGGGTCACATGTTTGCTAGATATTTGCTCAGCATTCAAGAGTTCAATCCCACATTTGGTTATATTCCAGGAAAGCAAAATGTTGTAGCCGATGCTTTTTCTCGACACGTAGCTACAAGTTCAGTTAAATTATCCAGCAATAGATGCTACAGTAGTCGAGACGGAACAGAGACAAGACCCCATATGGGCACCCGTCATTACGTTTTTGACTAAGCAAGATACTCGCCCGATTCACAAACCTCTGCAGTACCATTGAAAGAGTTAGTGATGTTAGACAATTTACTGTGTAGAGTAGTAAAACTAAGGACAGCCCTGAGGAAATGTTGTCAGTTAGTTGTTCCAGCTGTCGTGGTACCAACTGTGTTAAAAATTACCCATGATGCTCCTGCAAGTGCACATCCAGGAAAGGATCGTACACTCCAGCAAGGTCGATTGAAGTACTTTTGGCCAAAAATTGATAAGGAGATTGTTCATTATGTTGACAGAAGTTTGACCAGCTTACAGCTCAAGGGACATGTAACAGTATCTCACGAGACCATAGTTAGGTAGGACCTCGGCAGGCCACATATATACCGTGTTACTGCCACACTGGAGTCACATACTGTCACACTGAGGTCACATACTGTCACAATGGGGTCACATACTGCCACACTGGGGTCACATATTGCCACACTGGGGTCACATACTGCCTCACTGGGGTCACATATTGCCACACTGGGGTCACATATTGCCACACTGGGGTCACATACTGCCACACTGAGGTCACATATTGCCACACTGGGGTCACATACTTCCTCACTGGGGTCACATATTGCCACACTGGGGTCACATACTTCCTCACTGGGGTCACATATTGGCACACTGGGGTCACATATTGCCACACTGGGGTCACATACTGCCACACTGGGGTCACTGTCTATAAGGAGCGACAATGGTCTCGGATAGCCTTCATGCACAGTATATAATGCCAGATAAAATATGTACACAAAGTCTTAATCATAAGAGATTAAGACTAATATATACAAGAGTATTATTAGAATTAGGTCCAGGGATACGCAAGATGGGAGGCACCCACTCCCGCTATCAGCAGTGACGGTGCCGTCTCAGCAGTGATGTCGCCACTATCAGCAGTGACGCTGCCGCTACAAATAGTAGCGTCGACACTACCAGTAGTAACGTCGCCATTATCAGTAGTGGGGAGGCCGCTACTAGCAGTTTCGTTGCCAATATCAATAGTGATTTTGCCGCTAACAGCAGTGACGTCACCGCTATCAGCGTTAAGTAGTGTAAATTGCGACTACAACCAAGCGTTTTGGCTTTTGTGATACTTCATTTCCATCGCACTTATTTTTTTCTGTGAATCTCAGCGACACTTCATTTTTATGCCACTTCTTTTTTTCCATGAATGTCGATGACACTTCGTTTCTGTCGCACTATTTTTGTTCCATTAATTTTGGCAACGCTTCATTTTGGTCACATTATTTTTCCATAAACCTCTGTGATACGTAATTCCTGTTGCACTTTTTTGTCCCATGAATCTCAGCGATGCTTCCTTTGCATCGCACTTTTTTTTTATGTGAGTCTTGGCGACTCATAGTTTCCGTCAGACTTTTTTGTTTTGTCAATCTCGGCAATACTTCTTTTCCATCACGCTTGCTTTTCTGTGAATCTCAGTTACACCTTGTTTCCATTGCAGTTTTTTACCTTTCACCTGAGAAATGTTTCCTTCTGTCACACTTTTCTTTTCCAAGAATCTTGGCAGCACTTCATTTCTGTCAAACTTTTCTCAGTAACTCTCTGGGATGCTTCGTTTCCATTCCACTTTTCTGTTCTGTGAATTTCAGCAAATCTTTGTTTCTGTTTTTTTAACTGATTTTTCTGTGAATCTTGGTGGTGCTTCACCACCGAGAAGTGTGGTCACTGGACCACACTGTCGTGTGGTCCAGTGACTGTGTTAGATCACCAACACTGTCACTGTCGTGTGGTTCAGTGACTGTGTTAGACCACCAACACCGTCACTGTCGTGTGGTTCAGTGACTGTGTTAGACCACCAACACCGTCACTGTCGTGTGGTCCAGTGACTGTGTTAGACCACCAACACCGTCACTGTCGTGTGGTTCAGTGACTGTGTTAGACCACCAACACCGTCACTGTCGTGTGGTCCAGTGACTGTGTTAGTCCACCAACACCGTCACTGTCGTGTGGTTCAGTGACGGTGTTAGACCACCAACACCGTCACTGCCGTGTGGTCCAGTGACGGTGTTAGACCACCATCACTGTCACTGTCGTGTGGTCCAGTGACTGTGTTAGACCACCAACACCGTCACTGTCGTGTGGTTCAGTGACTGTGTTAGACCACCAACACCGTCACTGTCGTGTGGTCCAGTGACTGTGTTAGTCCACCAACACCGTCACTGTCGTGTGGTCCAGTGACGGTGTTAGACCACCAACACCGTCACTGTCGTGTGGTTCAGTGACGGTGTTAGACCACCAACACCGTCACTGTCGTGTAGTTCACTGACTGTCAGTCATCAACAGCTTCGCTTAACACAAGTGTGAACGTTTATACTGTCTGTTATGTGCGTGTTTTTACTAAACGTAGATAGTTGCTTCACTGTTGTCACAGTGAAGCATTATATCTCGTCTTCCCTTTATACAGAAAAATACTCTACTATTTTATGGCGAAAATAAGCTCCTCTTGCTATATCTAAGAATAGGCATCTCTTTAAACCTGAAAATGTTCTCTACTCCCTAATGATGGAAATAATTTTCCTCTTTTCAACAGAAAATAGTTTCTTCCCTTCAATGATGGAAATATTCTTTCAAGCCTAAAGCTATAAATAAATTGGCCTGTGTAATGTTGTAAATAATCCGCTTCATAATGCTGTAAATAGTTTACAGCAATTTGAAATTCGGAAATTCAATTTGAATTCAATTTGAATTCAATTTGAAATTTGAAATTCAATTTGAAATTTACAGCAATTTGAAACTCTTTGAAATTCTACTTCCTCCTTAATGTTTGAAAATAATGGTTCCTATTTAATATTGGAAATGGTGTGTTGGGTTTAATACTGGAAATACAAGTAAACACCTGCTAACTAAGGTATTTACAAACAACGCGTGTATACACAGCATCAAGGAGGTGACACCTAGCATCCTCGTTAACAAAGCAAAGGTTTATAAATAGGGGCTGTTTACCTGAAAAACACCAAACGCCATTTTCTGTTTGGTAAAAAATATTTTTAATCAGCTACGTCAAACTTAAAATATTGTTCATGTGTCAATATTGAATTAGAACTTCTATGACCAGAACGTTAAAAATTATCATCATTACCATCAAAGCCAAAATTGATTATTCACAAAAAATAACAGGAAAAACTTAAAAAAAAATGAATTAAAGTTCACTATCAATGGAATTTTAAATATGAACAAATATTTTGTTATTCAAGCAACACCAATTATTAAATATTTCACAGAAACCTCTCTATTATTTATACAAATTCATAGTATATATCAGGATGTGGAGCTACGGGCATGATCTGGCAAGCAGCTAGACAAAACATTGAGTGTAGAAGCTTACTACAATACCACAGTGTTTCAGTGAAGGTGATGAAGAGACCCAATACCTGCCGAAGTGTATTATTAAACACAAATGTCGGATGAACCTTTGTCCTTTATCAAGGTGGTGTAAACAGTGTATTGAACCAAGACTGTAAGTGCATGCGTGTACACATCTGGCAGAGCGCCTCACGC